GTTCGATTGAATAGTTATTAATGAATTAACGCTCAATTCACTCATTCAGGCGCCTCGACGCTGCGTGGCCGCGGCGCGGGGGCAAGCCGGCGAGAGGACGTGTCATTGACAGTTGTCGTTAACAGTCCATTAATCATTGATTAGGCGCGGGGGGCAAGCCGGCGAGGGGCGGCGAGGCGGCGGCGGCGTCGATCCGCGAGATCGAGGCGAGATTGCACAAGATTGCACGAGATTGCACGAGGCTGCACGAGGCTGCTCGAGATTGCACGAGATCACACGAGATTGAGATTCCTCGAGGTCGAGGCGTCGCTGCTGTCCCTGGGGGGGGAGGGGTCGCCTCCATCACCTACTTACTCACTGAACCATTGCCTTCACCAGGCGTCGCTGCTCTCCCTGGGCGAGGAGGGCTCTCCCCCCGACCTCGTCTTCATCACGGCGGGGCTCGGCGGAGGCACCGGCTCCGGCGCCGCCCCCGTCGTCGCCGCTACCGCCAAGAGACTCGGTGCCTCTTCCCTTCACACTTGCAGCTGCTTTCCCTTCACACTTGCAGCTGCTTTCCCTTCACACTTGCAGCTGCTTTCCCTTCACACTTGCAGCTGCTTTCCCTTCACACTTGCAGCTGCTTTCCCTTCACACTTGCAGCTGCTTTCCCTTCACACTTGCAGCTGCTTTCCCTTCACACTTGCAGCTACTTTCCCTTCACACTTGCAGCTGCTTTCCCTTCACGCTTGCAGCTGCTTTCCCTTCACACTTGCAGCTGCTTTCCCTTCACACTTGCAGCTGTTTCCCTTCACATAAACGCACGACCCCGGTTTCCCTTCACACTTGCAGCTGCTTTCCCTTCACACTTGCAGCTGCTTTCCCTTCACGCTTGCAGCTGCTCTCCCTTCACACCTGCAGCTGCTTTCCCTTCACACTTGCAGCTGCTTTCCCTTCACACCTGCAGCTGCTTTCCCTTCACACTTGCAGCTGCTTTCCCTTCACACTTGCAGCTGCTTTCCCTTCACACTTGCAGCTGCTTTCCCTTCACACTTGCAGCTGTGTCCCTTCACATAAACGCACGACCCCGGTTTCCCTTCACACTTGCAGCTGTGTCCCTTCACATAAACGCACGACCCCGGTTTCCCTTCACACTTGCAGCTGCTTTCCCTTCACACTTGCAGCTGTGTCCCTTCACATAAACGCACGACCCCGGTTTCCCTTCACACTTGCAGCTGGTCTCCCTTCACACTGTCGCCGTCGCCACCCCCCCCCCCCCCATTAATGAGTCACTGATTCGTTAACTAGTATTTAATCTGGAACAGGCGCGCTCACTATTGCCGTCGTGACTACCCCCTTCGCTTTCCAGGGGGCGGTGCCCGGCGCGGCGGCGGCGGAAGCGATGGCGCAACTGGCGCCGTCGGCAGACTTGCTGATACACGTCGACAACGACAGGCAATCTCTCCCCCATATCTCGGCTGCATCTCGGCTGCATCTCGGCTGCATCTCGGCTGCATCTCGTCTGCATCTCGTCTGCATCTCGTCTATATCTCGGCTGCATCTCGGCTGGCTCGCCACCATCCTTCCTCCGGGCACGTCGGTGACATAATAAATAACTAATTCCATAACTCATAACCAATTAATAACAGGCTCGCCACCATCCTTCCTCCGGGCACGTCGGTGACATATCACTAATTACATAATTAGTAACCAATTAATAACAGGCTCGCCACCATCCTTCCTCCGGGCACGTCGGTGACGGAGACGCTGTACGCGGCATAGTGAATTCATTCCCCAATAATTAATTAACTATTTCATTAATAGGTGACGGAGACGCTGTACGCGGCCGACGAGGTGCTGCGGCAGGCGATCCTCGGCGTCGCCTCCCTCCTCTCCTGAATGAACGAATCAACGAACGAATTACCCATTAACCAGGCGATCCTCGGCGTCGCCTCCCTCCTCTCCTCCTCGCAGCTAATCAACGAACGGATTACCTATTAACCAGGCGATCCTCGGCGTCGCCTCCCTCCTCTCCTCCTCGCAGCTAATCAACGTCGACTTCGCCGACCTGCGCGCCGTCATCTCCGGCGCCGGCCTCGGCTTGGTCGCCGTCGGGCGCGCCTCAGGCCCCGACCGGGCGTCCGAGGCCGCGCGGGCTGCGATCTCCTCCCCGCTGCTAGACATCGAGCTGCGGCAGGTGCTTTTTGCTATAGTTAGCTGACTAATGAGTCAACGATTGGGAGGGGGGCTGGTGTACGCTGTGCAGGGCCTAATGATTTGATTCATGAATG